GCCCTTTGGCCCCATTCCAGGCGGGGGCCTGAGTCCCTGGCCTCTTCAGCATAGCCTCTGACCATGCTGCCCACTTTGGGCCTCAGTGTGAGGCCAGCAGGAGGTACAGGGGCAATGCAGGGGGCCCCAGAGAGTCCCATCTATAGCTCAGACTGAGAAGAAACAGGAATTTTATTTCCTAAAAAATTCGAAAACCTCGGCGAGGAGCCTTTCATTTATCAAAGAATGATGACAGATAATAAAGGGAAGTCGGAGGAGGCTGGGCTTCCCTTTTAGCAAAGGTGGGCAGTGAGTGCCTTCCTCAGCTCCACGCTCCTGACATCTGTGTTAACGGCCTGCAGACCAAGGCTTCGGGGTTCAGCCTCATGACTGTGCAGGTGGAGAAACTCACTGGAACGCTCACACAGGCCGGGTTGCAAGGAAGCCCTGAGGTCAGTCGCGTTTACTCTGCCATTCTAAAGAGGAAGAAGCTTTAACCCATGAAAATCCCCAAAGCCACAGACGGTCAGAGGTGGAGGGACCCTGTAAGACCATCCTGTCCTGGGGTAGCAAGTGGGTTTCTTCAGGAGAGCTGTTTCTGATCATCAGTGGTGGTCACTATGCACTGAGTTTAGGAAAAGGAAGCAAGTGAGGTGGTCCATTAGTGATGTCTGCCCTGGGCATGGCTCACACGCTGCATCTTTGCATCTGCTATCCACAGCCGGGGACACTCAGCTGGTGGAGACCTGAAGCTCAGATCTCCCATCCCCTATGCCGGTGTTCTTCCCACAGCCCATCAAGGACATCCTGTGTCCTGTTCTGCAGGTGGCTTCAGGGGCCAGCCTCAGTTTCCTCCTGGGCATTTTCTTTGCTCCTACGAAGCAGGTGGCAGGAATATAGGCAGAATTTTTTGTTTTAACATGTAAGGAAAATTGAAGGCTATGGAGGTCAAGCAACTTGCCCAAGGTCCAGCATAAAACAGCCTTTGAAGTAATCCTCAAGCTCAGTTTACAGTGTGTTCTCTGTACAGAGCTCTGACCATTAGGCAACAGTGCCCAGTTCCTTGGAGGGATCTCAAGTAACAAAAAAGGTAGGCATAGTGTCTGTGGGGTCTTGGGGAAAAGTGTTTTGACTGGGTTGAATGACCTCACTGGGAAGTCTCGTGGTTTGCTCTGGCGGCTGCCTGCCCAGCAGTGCTTCCAAGGTCCTGGTTGCTTTAATCATTGCTATCCCAGGAAGTGGCAGCACATTTGCCAAGTGGTCATAAAATGACAGGGGAAGTCTTGCTGGGTTAACCTGGGAGCGGAGCTGGTGAGAAGAGAAGCAGCCCGGAAATGGGAGAGGTTCGGCCGCATTGCAGAATGCTCTCTGCATGTTTACCAGGCAGGAGTGAAAATCCTGCTGGAACAGGATTCCTGTGCTTCCACGTCCCTCACCCAGAGAATTGCTCCCCAGGCAAACTCACATCCCAGCGCTGCCAACGCATGCAAATCAGCGGGCCTGTGAGGCTGTGGCTCAGAGGTGGGAAAGCAGAGGGCTGGCGCCGGCTCCTCCTGTCTACTGTCGGACAGGGGTCCTTGCCAGGTGGCTCGGACTGCTGACCTGGTGCCCACCAGGTGCCAGGGAAGGAGAGGCAGAGGCGGAAGCTGCCTTTGACCCCTGCGCACCTCCTACAGACTGATCCATGGCCTTTCTCATGGGGACTCCATTGGGTATTACGGCCATCCTGGCCTAAGGAAATTCTATCCAGAATCCCGGGCCTCCCCACCAATTCAAGGTGCCTTTTACCCTCTTTTGGTCACTAAATCCCATTTTCTATGAACTGGAATGTTGTCTTCATAATTAACCCAAATCCCTCGAACTGTATTCTCGGCCTCTTCCTTTGTCTGGAGCTCTTTGGTATAGATGAACAGTTCTGGGTACCGTGTGGGACCAGGGAGATTCAGGAGTTGGGCCATTTAGCTGGAGCTTGGATGGAGTCCTCAGACGTTGTCTGAGTTTTAGAGATGCTAGCAGTGGCGTTAACGCTAGCGTGGGAAGGATGTACCACGTTGGGACTGGAGACATGGGTTTTTGTCTTCCCCTGAGGATCATTCCCAACACATGCCCATACTTTAAAAGCTCTGTTACTTCGTACATATTATCACTTAACCTTGTTGAGACTCAGTTTTCTCACTGTAAAATGGGGGTGAGTAATAAGGCTTCATTTTCCCAAAGGCAGAGCGCTCGCCCTGATCATCTCTTCAGGTTCCTCCCAGCCCCGTGAGCCATAGTTCCAAGGTGTTTGCGCTCTGGCTTTCTTGCTAGAAGCTTCATGGTCCAGAGATTCCCAGGAGACCATGAGAACCGAAAGAGGCTTGGCGAGACCTTAGCTGGTGTCCCTTCCAGCTTGGCACAGTTCTTACCCATCTGCCCCAAGACATCCAAAGAGAGGATTCTGAAGCTTCCTTTGTGAGCCCTTTCTGCCCCATCTCTGCCCTCTGTGTTCATATCTTTTAGTTGTGGGCAGAACAAACAGGACAGAGGGAAATGGTGGGGAGAGTTCTTTGGTCCTTCCTTGCCTCCCTCTGCAAATGCTACACAGTGACCAGCTTCTGGGAAGGGAAGAAAAAGCCCTGGTACATTTCAATCCACTGCATTGAATCCTAGGACTTTAGAGATGGGAGGAATTTTCAGTCCCCTGAGATCACCCGAGATCCTCCTCTTGATATTATCAAATTGCCGCTCAATTCAAATACCACTTCTATAACATCCCTGAAATAAGCAACCTCTGCCTGAATATTCCTAGCAATGGGGAGCCCTGTTGATGTGAAACTGTGGGTTTCACTGCTGGACAATTCCATGTTTTACAAAATTCTTCCCTATACTGAGGTGAAGCCTGCTTCCCAGGAACCTCCACCAATGACCTTTGTGGAGCTGGGTCTTTGCAGCTGCAGACTAAGCCTGTTTCACATCCATGCCAATATTGGGGGAGGAAGGAAGAGTACACTGACATTTACTGAAGCACTTACTATGCACTAGGCACTATGCCAAGAAGATCTTACAAATGTTCCCTCATTGAATTACTTAAGAATTTTTTATTTTGAAAAACTTCAGATACATAGAAAAGAGAAGAAACAGCCATAACAGCTGTTAATGAACAGCCATATACCCATCACCTGGATTTAATAGTTGTTAACATCTTGCCATGTTGGTTTCATCCTTTTGGGGGGGGGAAATATTTTATTTTTAACTTTTTATTTCAAACGCACGCAAAGGTAGACACTGAAATGATGAGCCCCATATACTCATTGCCTACTCTCAACAACCATCACATTTCTGCCATTCCTGTCACTGGAATATTTTCTTGTAAATTACAGACGTTATAACATTTCAATCCTAAATATGGCAGTATGTGTGTCTAAAATGTAAAAGACATCTAAGGGTAAGTGTTCTCCTCTCTAGGCTAAATATCCTTTCCTCATTTGGTGTGACATCTAAGCCCCTTACCGTCTTGGTCCTCATGTTGCGCAGCCCAGTTCATCAGGGTCCCTTTAAAAAATGTTGCCCTGAACTGGACATGATGCTCTCAGCAGAGATGTGCAACGGTCTGCATGCCTGCTGATGCACAGGATAGCATTAGCTTTTTAAGCAGCTACCCCACACCTGTGCAGTACACTCAGGCCAATACTGGCTTCAATCAACTGAAATTCTCCCTTTTTGGGTTTCTTTTTCACATGCGCTTTTTCACTAGCGCCAGCCTCCTCTCTCTTCCCCTCCCCACAAGGAACTGCAGTTTGTTTATTTCCAGATACTGTCTGCCAATAAACAGAAATGGGAATCACTTTTTTGTTTTTGTTTGGGAGGGAGAGTTATATTATATTTCTTCAGGAGATTTAACCTCTTTGAAAATGTAAAATACAGAGTATAGATATTTTGATGGTCAAGTATCTTAAATTATGCACACTTGAAGTTTTAATCACCATATGTATCTGCTGTGTTATTCCATTGCTCTAGTTTGAGGTTGGTTATTGGTATTGTTGAAAAAACTCTTTATCAGGTTTCACATTGTAGCCCAGAGTCTTTTGTTTAAGCTTTATTGAGGTGTAACTGGTAAATAAAATTGTAAGATTTTTACAATGTACATCGTGTGATTTGATACGTGTATACATTGTGAAAGGATTCCCACCATCTAGTTAATTAACGCATCCATCACATGTATATTTATCTTTATATGTGTGAGAGAGAACATTTAAGTTCCACTCTTTTCATTTTAATTAATTTTAATTAATTTTAATTAATTTTAATTATACAGTACAGTGTTGTCAACTATAGTCCCCATGTAATACATTAGATCTTCAGACGTGATTCATCTTATAGCTGAAAGTTTGTACCCTTTTACCAACTTCTCCCTATTTCGGAACCCTTCCAGCATCTGGCAACCACTTTCCCACTCTCTGTTTCTATGAGTTTGACTCTTTCATTTTTATTGTTTGGATTCCACGTATGTGATACCTTGCAGTACTTGTCTTTCTCAGTCTGGTTTATTTCACTTAGCGTAATGCCCCCAAGGTCAATCCATGTTGTCGCAAAGGGCAGGATTTCCTTCTTTCTCATGACTGAATGTAACCATGTAACAAGTATATATACATAACATTTTCTTTATCCATGTACCCATTGATGAACACTTAGGTTGGCTATAGTGAATAATGCTGCAGTGAACAGAGGAGTGAAGCTATCTCTTTGATACCCTGTTTTCATTTCCTGTGGATATACACCCAGAGTAGGATTGCCAGATCGTATGTAGCAGATAGGCTAAAGGTAGGGCATACTTTTGAGCAATTTGACTTCTTTAGTTGCCTACCCGGTATGAGGTAGAAAATTAGCTTTCTGGGTTAGAGTAGTTGTCAAAACATAATTCTCTAAGTGTAAAAAACTCTTTACTTTTTTCTCCTTTTTTTGGGTGGTAAAAAACATACAATATTAAATTTAAACATAAAACGTAAAATTTAAACATAAAATTTACCACCTTAATCATTTCTAATTTCACCTTCTCTATCTTTTATGTATACAATTGACCTTTTTTTAACCTAAATGTAGGGCTTAGATGTATTCCTGTTACATTCTATGTTGTTGGTTTTGGCCTCTTATTAGAATCGACCAAAATATTTTCTAATCCTGATTTCATCGTCCGGTTGTCTGAATTAATCTCGCTCTCTGCCTTAAATCACTTCCGGATTTGATCGGCCTCAATACTGCTTATTTGCCTAAACTGTTGATTACAGTCTAATACTTGGTTTTCTCTGTGTTGGACTTGGGATGCAGTGGGTTTATTTCGAAAATTGTATGAGTATGGGAGTTGCAAAATCCAAGCTTTGGTCCGAAATCAAGGTCTCTGAGGCTGTGTGACCACCGCAAGGTGCTCCCCTCTGAGGGTGGACTTCAGTATCTTTCCAATGCTGAAAATAATGCTCCGGCCCCTCTGTGTGTCTGTCCTGCTTTGTTTTTTTCTGCAAGTGGCTGCCATCTTTCAAAGCCAGAACTTGGATAATAGAATATGATCAGGTTTCTGCAGCTGGTGGCACCTATGATGTCTTAGCTCTGAATAGAAGATTTGTTTCTGTAGCAGTTTCTTAGTGATTTGGATCAATTAAACACATAGTCATTCAGTTCCTTCTATGTGTTAAACACTGTTTTAGGCTCTTGGAGTACAAAAATGAATAAAATGTAATAACCCTGGCCTCTAGGAGCTCCCAGTTTCATGAGGGAAACAGACACACAAAACACTGACGTTTAAAAAATGTGGTAGGTGCTAGAAGAGGTATAAGTAGGAGAGGTGGAAACGTAGAGGAGGAAATCCCTCATTTTGCTTTGGATAAGTTTCATGGAGGACGTGACATCTGAGTTGGGTCTTGGAGGGTGAATGTGTATATTCTAGGGAGAGAGGGCATTCTAGTCAGAGGGAACAGCGTGTGCAAAGTCCCTGACAAAGGAGCAGGCTCAGCCTGATGGAGGAGTGGCCCGGGACGTGTGGAGCCCAGCCCGCAACTGGAGAGTGCTTCCCAGCATATAGTTGAGCTTTACTGTATTCCTGGGAAGTGGGTGGAATTGAAACTATGACCTTATTTTGCCATCAAGATGCCTGACGCTCTGGAGCTTCCTGTCTTGACCAAGGTCACACAGCTTGGGAGCGATGGAGCCAGGACTTGAGCCCTAATTCTCAGACTTCAAGTCCAGGACTGTTTCAAGTATGCCCTACTACTCCTGCACACCACAGCTTAAAGGGGTAGAAAACAAGTTTCTGGTGATTGTGGACCAGTATTTCCCACAATATGGTGATTGCATCCCTTTCTTTCTCTAGGAAAGAGGGGTGCCCTCCTCGCTGTTTCAAAAATGAATAAATTGGGTCCTGGGAATGGCTTGTCGGTCACCTCTCAACCTAGAGCATTAGGGCAGCAGCAGAACCCCAGTGAGCTTGATCTTGTCCCAGAGTTGCCAGGCACCGCCTCCCAGGCCTTTCCTGTAGGCTGGGTGGAGAGAGGTGCAAGGTGGAACAAGGTCCATGAACATGGGAGAGAAGCAGGAAGAAGCAGCAGTAAAATGAGGGCTGAGGCCATTTCCCCTCAGCCAGATCTGGAGAGAGAATCAACAGTGTCATCAGAGATGAACTAACGCCTGTATTAGACTATGTCATGGCGTCCCCACCTAGGCCCCCAGATGCTCTGAGTTCCTTCTCCCCAGCCGGGGGAAGCCATGTCTCCTGAGAATACTCTGACCTGCTTAGCAGTGGAATCAGAATCAGAGGTGAGGTCACTTTGGGGGACTGAACCTTTATTCAGTTCCCAGTGCTGAGCTAGTGCCACTCTCTTCTGCCCCAGAGTAAAGGGGTCTGTCTCCTGGGAGGCCCTGGCTGGCCTGGGCCCCTCCAGTCCAGCCATTCAGTCAGCCTGGGACTCCAGGAGGACTAGATCATGATACCGATGCAGGCCAGGATGAGTTTGATGAGAAGGGGAGACTCCACGTTCAGGCTCCAGGCACAGCAGGTGCGTCCTCAAGGGGAGAGGCCTCTGGAGAAAGACCCTGGAGAGACTCCTGGACAAGAGAAATTGTTCTCTTGTTGGCTGGTGGGTTTTTAAATTAATCTCTGCGTGCTGTTTGCTTATCTTTTGCGTTTTGTGGATCTCACAAAAAACACTCTGACGGCATCCGCAGATATCGAAAGTAAAGACTTCTTAATTGTTCCCAATCCCGATGACCTCTCCAAGATGGACTGTTTTGGCCCTCAAGGTTTCTCTCCCTTTCTAGGTCTCATTCACATGTGTGTTATTACCTCTTCTGGAGGTAATGATATTACACCTTCTCTTGCCTTCCAGACGCCATGCCTGCCTGGTCTTCCTCCTACCTGAGTGCCCACTCTTTCTTAGTCTCCTTTGCTGGCCCTTCCCCATCATTCCCAACCTTGACCCTTTTACTCTCCTTCATCTGGACTCAGTTCCTTTGTAAACTCATCAAGTCCTATGGCTTTAAATACCACCGATAAGCTGAAAACTACCCACCCTGTACTTCTGACCTGACACCTAGCCTGAGTCCAAACTCCTTTCCCTGTCTCTCCTGGGATCTTTAACTGGCATCTCAAAGTTAACACGTCCCAGAACATAGCTTTTGATTTTATACCACCGGCCAGCTCCTCCCTGAGTCACCCCCATCTTGGGGAATGACTCCACCACTCACTCCATGGAGAAAGCCCAACCCTAGGAATCATCCTGCCTCTCCTTCCCTTGCACCACTCCTTGCAGCCATCAGCTGGCCCTGTCAGCTATCAATTCAAAATCCAGGTCCTTCTCACTACCTGCACGGGTGCCCTTCTATCCTGCACACTGCCCCCTCTCATCTGACCCACTGCGATAGCCTCCTGGTTGTTCTCCCTTCCTCCTTGCTCATCCCTACAGCTGATCACCGCAGGTGTAAACACTTAAGTCAAATCATGTCACTCCTCTGCTCAAAACCCTCTGATCACTTCCCAACGTCCTTGGCATGAAAGCTGAAGTCTTCAGCACAACCCGCCTGCCAGACCCACGGCATCTTTCCCCTGGTCACACCCATCCACATGTCTCCAGCCTTGCTGGCCTCGTCACTGTTCCTCAGCGGGCAAGCCTGTTCTTGCCTCCCTCAGGTCCTGATCCCTCTGTCTGGAGTGATCTTCCCCAGACCACCCTGCTTATGGACAGCCTCTGACACACTCTTCCCCTGACCATGTATTATTGCTCTCCATAGTAACTCTCTCTAAATGAAATTATATATTTGTTTTCTTATTCCTTTCATGTCTCCTCAACTAGAAAAGAAGCTCCGTGTGGTCAAGGACTTCTGTCTATCTTTTCCAGTATTATATTTCCAGTGCCTAGAACAGTGCCTGGTATAGAGAGTGTATTTAGCAAATACTTGTGGAATGAATGAATTTGCTTTTTGGTCAAATTTTAAAATCACTCCTTACTAGGCCACCTTTACAATGTCATGAAATAATTTTTAATATAAAAGCAATTTTATCTTTAAGTCTACACACACACACACACACACACTATTTTCAGTCTGTGGGCCCTTCCCATCTTAACTCCCCTCACAGATTATCTATTTAGGCTTCGTTAGTCTCAAAATCAGGCTGCTATTCAAAGATGACTTCCCGTCTCACGAATTTCCTCTTTCTCGGAATCCTGGAGCCCTCAACTTCTGCCGTCATCTTGCTGGCCCAGCTGCTCTCGGAGACGCTTCACAACCAATCATACAGGCAAGGGCTTCACTTACCCGTTGTTTAGAACAGAGCAGAGGGAAGGGGGCTTAGCTTAAAGCTCCAGAGGATTCTCCTGGACCCCATTCACTCATCTGTCAGGTGTTTCTTGAGCCTCTGCCCCATGTTAGGAACAGTGGTGCCCATCGAGGAGAAAAATGAATGTCCTCCTCCTAGTTTTCAAGGAATTCATAGACTAGAGGGAGAGAGAAGCATGCAGACAAATGAAGAGTTACATGACATGTGCCATGCGGCTGGTAGAGAAGCCTGAAGGACCAGAGAGAAGGGGGACCAACTCTGTGGAAGGGAACAGTGCATGGAGGTGTGGAAACGGGAGAGGTGTGGCGCGTTTGGACATGAGCGAGCTTTCCATGAGTCTGGAGCACAGGGTACATGGGAGGTTGGGAGGTGAGATCATGAGAGGCAGCAGACAAAGCAGGGAAGGTAGGCAGAAACCAGGTCATACAGGGAATTATATGTTAGACTAAGAAATTTGGACTTCATTCCAAAGCTATTGAAGAACCGATGGAAAGCAGAAGAATTTTCTGATTGAAAGTTCTGAATTCATTCACATGTTCATTTATTCATTCATTCAACCAATATAACTTGAGCTCCTATTATATACTAAGCCTAGTGCTAGGCTCTGGGTGGTATTTAATATCATTTTCTTGCCATTATAGAGCCAATAATCCATGGGGCACAAAGGAAGATTGTTTGGCAGCTCCTGCCCTGAAGAGCTGTATGAATAGGAAATTTCATTATAGCAAAGAATGGAAGCAATTTCCCTAATAACAGGTATATGTTTAAGCAGATTTTGGTATCTCCATAAATGGAATATTATGGAGCCATTAAAAATGATCTTTGCAAACATAGGAGAAAGATTTATGACGTTCCTTAATAGTGTAGGAGAAAGATTATGACGCTCACTGGAAAATGCAGGGTAAAAAATCTATACAGGGCTTCCCTGGTGGCGCAGTAGTTGAGAGTCCGCCTGCCGATACAGGGGACACGGGTTCGTGCCCCGGTCCGGGAAGATCCCACATGCCACAGAGCGGCTGGGCCCGTGAGCCGTGGCCGCCGAGCCTGCGCGTCCGGAGCCTGTGCTCCGCAACGGGAGAGGCCACAACGGTGAGAGGCCCACGTACCGCAAAAAAAAAAAAAAACTGAGTAAAAAAAAAAAATTCTATACAGAGCGATATATATCAATGAGGAAAAACAAGCATATAAAAGACCATAAAATATACAAAAATATTAATTGCAGCTGCCTCTCTGCAGATGGATTTTTCTGCTACTTTTTACTTTTTCTGTACCAAAAAGTTTTCTCTATTAAGCACACATTTACTTTTTCAACCCAACATTTATTATAAAGGGAAAAAGATGAATAAAACCAAGAATGAAAGTTGGGGGTGGGTGGAAACAGGGGTGACACTCATCTACCTGACATGATTTAGGTGTCATCAGTGCTGGAGGGCTGGGATAGCGGGAGGCCTTCCTGCCTTCGGGCAATTCCTTTAGGATTTGTGGCCGGCCATTCCTTGCTTTTCCATTACAGCATGTATCACAGCTTCTGTCTGAGGGCAGTTGGCAGAAGCAATCTGGTGTGGCAAGTTCTAATCTCAGTTAGACTCTATGTGACCTTGGACAAGTCAATCTCCCCTTTCCCTGGTTACCTACCTTCCTGAAGGAGATTTTCCAAAGACTTTTCCAGGAAACAGGATAAGCAAGAAGATTCTGGCCACAGGGCAGGCATTTTGTTCTTTTTCAAAATAAAGATAAGCCCATCCCAACATCCTATTTTCCACTAACTTTCAGTCTCTTCCAATCCTGCTAGCTATTAATGTTTTCTTTTTTTTTTTAATCTCTTCCAGGAAATGATCGAAACGGCTTAGATTTCAACAGGCAGGTAAGGACATTCAGAAGAAAACCTTTATTCTATAAATTTTGGGCGTCATTCATACTATGTTAGGTGTGGGGACACACAGAAGATTAAGGGAAGTTTGAGGGTGTTTATTCATAGACTCATAGCTCTCAGAATTGAAAGGTGTCTTTCAAGGCCTTTTGCATCCAACCCCTCCCCCAATCCACAATCCAACGTTGGGGTCACCTCTTCATTATGTCCTCAAAAGAGTACTGACAGCGCAGCCCTATTTAGGATTATCTGTAGGCTGGATGTGGTCTGGAATCTAAGACCACAACTCTTTTCCCATCAAAGCTCAGCTTGAGTTGCCTCTTGGGCAAGTCTGTTTGCATGGCCTGACTATGTGTAGAGGAATTTGTGGAGGTGCAAAAGATGGAGGGTTGGGTTCCTCAGCGAACTCCTGATTTACTTATTTATTCATTTACTTCTAACATTTTTATTGAAGTATAATTGCTTTACAATGGTGTGTCAGTTTCTGCTTTACAACAAAGAGAATCAGTTATTACATATACATATGTCCCCATATCTCTTCCCTGTGCATCTCCCTCTTTCCCACCCTCCCTATCCCACCCTTCTAGCTGGTCATAAAGCACCTGTGCTATGCGACTGCTTCCCACTAGCTATCTATTCTACGTTTGGTAGTGTATATATGTCCATGCCACTCTCTCACTTTGTCCCAGCTTACCCTTCCCACTCCCCGTGTCCTCAAGTCCATTTTCTGTAGGTCTACGTCTTTATTCCCGTCTTGCCCCTAGGTTCTTCGTGACCATTTTTTTTTTTTTTTTAGATTCCATATATATGTGTTAGCATACGATATTTGTTTTTCTCTTTCTGATTTACTTCACTCTGTATGACAGACTCTAGGTCCACCTACCTCACTACAAATAACTCAATTTCATTTCTTTTTATGGCTGAGTAGTATTCCATTGTATATATGTGCCACATCTTCTTTAGCCATTCATCTGTCAATGGACACTTAGGTTTCTTCCAAGTCCTGGCTATAGTAAATAGCCAAAGGAACTCCCGATTTAAAAGAAGATAGAGGACAAAACAGGGGAGCCAGGACAAAAAGAGCTCTGGAAGGAGGGTGTAACCCAGCTCAGTGGGACAATGGAGATACAAGGTGGGCGCCTTTAAAGGAACAAGCTGGGTGGAGTTCAAGTTAGTCGGGGAGGGTTTCAGGCAGGGGAAGGTGGTGTTGGATGGATTGAAGGATGGACAGATCTGGATGTGTAAAGAGGAGGGTGAATGAAGAGAGGACCTTCCCATTGAAGTTAGAGGCTGATGGGAAGATTGGGGGCTGAGGGCGAAGACAAGGTGTGATGTCAGAGGCAGATGGTGGGAGGGTTCATTGGGGGGACAAAGTCTAAACTGGAGACAAGCAGGAAGCAACACTGGGCCCTAGAGTGAGGCAGAGACGTGAGAATTAGAAACAAAGTCAGAAAGCCTGGGTTTGGGTCCTGTTTGGGCCACCAGCTAGCTGTATAAGTTTGGTCAAGTCACTTAATAATTTTAGTATGAGTTTTCTCAGCTGAAAAATTAATTTATTTCATAAATTTGGGGTGGGGGAGGGAACATGTACTGTGCCAGATGTGGGAATACAAAGAAAATTAAGACATGATCTCTTCCCTGGAGGAGCTCACAGTCTAGATTGAGGAGTGGGGGAGATAGAGATAGAGGGAGAGGGAGAGGGGAGGGGAGAGAGAAACTCTTGAGTGGATAATTATAATACAATCTCATTCATGCTTTATTGAAGGCGTGTAAAAAGCATGGTGTCAAACAGAAATGAGAATACTTCATTCTTCCCGGTAGCTCAGGGCAGGCTTCACGGAGGAGGTGATATTTGATTCTAGCTCTGAAGAGTCAGTAGAGTTTGTCAAGCAGAGAAGAATGGGCTAGAGAAGGAGACAGCCAGGGGGAAGGAAAGACAGCCCCAATTTGGGGATACATTTGATACTCACTAGGGGTCCTTCCCACTCATATCCAGAGTCCAAGTTTAGAAGCAAGTCAGGGGTGGAGGTCAAACTCAGACATATGTTCTTCTCCTCCTTTATCTGTAGAGTGATTTGAAGTCCCTACCAACATTTCCTGAAAGGCTTTTAACTCTGGGTACATCCTTCACGGTTGGAGAGGAACAATCTGGAGTCCTAACCCAAAACCTCTTAGGCAACTTCTGCAATTGTGTCCATTGGGGAAGTTTGCTAACACGTGGAGGCCAGCTACTCTCCCTCTTCCCTCAAGACCTAAGACAGAGGTAGGCTTCAGTTAAAGACACATCTAGGTGAGCTACGAGGAAGGACTTGCAGCCAATGTGGCTTATCACACAATGGAAAAGCTACCAAGGGAGGGAGACTATGGAATCAGCTTCTCTCTTAGGGTCTTTAAAGATGAGACAGATTCTCAGCTAAGGGATAGTTTGGCCAGGTTTGTTTCCAGGGCAGGAGGATGGAGGACATTCCCGAGGACTGAGTGACCCTGAAGGAGCCCTCGGCAGGTTGGGACGCGGCCTGTTGCCTGTGCTTTCCGAGGGTCCCAGCCCAGGGTCCGCCTCTCATGGTCCCTTGGACGAGATGCACGTGGAGGAGCCCATCCCACACCAAGACGTGGTGGCACCAGCCCAGCCCGGAGGTGGCCCGCTCCACAGGCCCGGTGGGTTTGGCTGCCTGTGTGATCTTTCTAGAGCTTGGGAAACCCTCGTGCTTAGGACAAGGCTAGGGACAGCCCCTCTGGCCCCAGCAGCCTACAGAGAGGCCCTGGCCCTTTGAACATCCTTTGGGGTATGGTTTCCCCACCAGTTGGGAGAAAGTTTCCTGGCTTCTGTCAGGGGAGGGCCTCACTAGCGTTCACTTCCCTTCGATGAGCCTCGTGGGAAGGGGGGAGTTCCACCCTCCCCTGAGAAGGGTTTTTGGATTTCTCATTACTGACGAGAACAGACACAAAGATCTTTTCTTTAAAGAGGTTGGAATTTGGGAGGAAGAGAGGCTCAGCTGGTCACGCTCATTTACACACTTAGACTGGAGCTCTTCTCTGTGTGCAAGCACACATGTCCACGCCCTCCCTAAGGCCCTCCTCGCTCCCTGTCACTGTCTCTCATGCCTCAGATACCAAGGCCCACACCCTCACATTCTCACCAGTTCACTTGCGGACCTGCAGGTGGGCGCCAGGATTTCTCAGGCCCTTGCACTGACAGTGATACCCTCGTGCTTCATAACAAGGGAAGTGAACCAAAGTTGGCGACCCCGAGCCCCTGGGCAAAGTGCTGTTGTCACTTTATCTCATCTGATTCTCACTGTATACCAAGTGTTACTATCCCCCTTAGACAGGTAAGGAAATTGCCTCCCAGGCAGCCCCACCTGATTAGGCAAAGGATTTGAGAGGTTAAGTAATCTGCTGAAGGTCACTCCGATTGGTCAGCTGGCAGAGCCAGGACTTGAACCCACATCTCTTTGACTCCAGAGCTCATTTTTCCCATGATGCCTTGCAGCCTCCTCCTCTGCAGTCTCTCAACCCCCCTCTTCCTGAACATACACATCGTCCTTAGAGAGAGGCCTGGGAGCCAGCGGCTGGGTGTGACCTCACCATGACTAACTGGGAGGAAGTGGGAGGTGCAGGGAGCGGGGAGGGGAAGAAGGAGTGTTGTGTAGGCGCGGCCTCTGTGTCTGATACAGAGACGGGGTGGCAGACGCAGGAGAGCAAAGGATGAGTCGCTGCCCTTGGTGAGGCTCACATTGGAAGGCCCCAAGCCAGGCGGTGCAGCTGGGAATTGCAGCCAGGCTCTGGGTGCACTGCTGTCCTAAGGTTGCATGAGCGAAGGACGCTGCCTCATCATGAGGTTTCATGATGAGCCTCTTAACTTCCTGGTCCCAGGAAAGCAGCCTGAGCCTGTTTGGGAGATAATTGTGAGCTGACCCAGAGACCCAGAAACAGGGCCAGCCCTCAGTCCCCAGGAAAGCTTAAGACAGAGTTGGGAGGCAACCGAACAAGGCCAGATCCCTGGACAGGGAATCAGAGGTCCTGGGTGCCGGTGCTGTTTCCACCCTGCACAGTCCTCTTCCCCTTTCTGGGCCTTAGTGTCCTCATGAATAAAAGGAAGACGTTTGCTTGAGATGATTGCTAAGGCCCCGGCAGTCTGTACGTTATGGTCCCATCAATATTCTCATGCCATATTCTGTTTGGTTTTGCTTCCACTTTCCTTTCATGTTTTTCTTTGAAGAGAAATGGGGAAGAGAGTGTCCATTTCTTCACCCTGAGCTGTAGAGAGTGAGGAGAAATATGTCACATGGAATCTTTCCAGCCTTTATGATCTTGTGTGATCCAGCGAAAAGAATCTTTTGAAATTCAAGGGGCAGAGACAGGAGGACCCAGCAGGTTGGATCTAGGGCCAAACATTCACTCTTTGAATATTTAGTCTTTCCTAAGAGCTGGAGAGAGTGTGTCACTGGTAAGAAAATAAATGGCAATGAACTCTGCAGTGCATTCTGTAAGAGACGTAAGAGTACTGAGCTCTGAGATAGTGCCCAAGGATGTCACCAAAGAGATGGTGTTGAAGCGGTTGACAAGGGAAGAGAAGGGGGTTTGACTGACGGGCAGAGAGGGGAGGCAAGAATATTCCAGGCATAGGAGACAGTAAGGGTGAAGCCTCACTATGTAAAAGGGAACTGTGAGAAGGTCAGCATGGGGTGTGATGGTGGAAGATGAGGCTGGGCCGGATTGTGCAGACCTTTGAACACCCAGCAACGAAGTTTATTTATTTATTTGTTAATTTGGCTGTGCTGCATGGCTTGTGGCATCTTAGTTCCCCGATCAGGAATTGAACCCGGGCCCTCGGCAGGGAAAGCGCAGAGCCCTAACCACTGGACCGCCAGGGAGTTCCCAAGAAGTTTAGATTTTATCCTGTCGGCATTTTCAAGCATAACTAGTTTGATTTAATGGAAAAGCCTTAGAAGGGGGTGTGGGTGCGGAGGGAAGGAAGGATGAATGACGCA